TACTCAGTTATTTGTTTTTCAAGTATGCAGCCAGTTTGACAATATTTTTTAATTGCTGGACGCATTACGTCTGCGGAGAGAAAGGCCATGTAAAACTAATGCACTAGCCCCAGACACAGAGCTATGTCGGCACGAAGTATTTGGTATCTGTTGCCATGCTTATATGTATATGTGAAAGGATGTGAACTTATCCTATCAAAAGAGCAATCAACCAATCAACGGAATTGATTTATCACAGGGCAGACCCACTGCAAAGTGTGAAAAACTTGCACTACAAAAGCAACAGTGAATTAGAAATACAAATGTAAAATTTAGTTGGTGTTTGCCGAAACCACCAGAATAATATATTAGTTAATGTTCTTTTTAGCATCCTAGAATCCACACTAGTCTCCGCGCTCCAGGACCGAACAAGATCTTCGGTTATTGTTAAGAGTGGAAACAAGTGGCCATGAACGTATTTCATTACTGCTTATTCTTTACGTCTCTGTAAATTCTGATTGCAATTTTAGCTTTGTAATATCCCTTAGCTTGGTGGCGATAATTTAAAGTAAACATTTATAGGATCAATCCAAAAGTGGATTTGAATAATCGGAGCGAGATCGATCACTTTTAGCGGAACAACCGCATAATATTCTTAAATTGCAACCAGTCAACTAATAGACTACAGACTCCGCCAGAGAGGACCGGTATTATCTGCAGGCGTGTGTGTGTCGTAGCCCTTGTTGGAGCAGGAGTCCCCACCAGAGTCCAAGCTGGTTCTAGTTGGAACACGGAGAAAAGGCGCGACTTGAGTCAGGTCCACGGGGGTGGGGGAGAGTTGAGTGCCTGGCCGGGAACTGCAGGCGTAAGGTCCAGGCTTGACCACAATCCCGGCGGCGAGAAGGAGGAGTCGGAGCTGTGTCAGGGAGGGGCAGCTCCGTCATCAAAAACGCAGGTTGAGAGGAGGGGAGATTGATCAAACGTAGGGAGATCGGTGTAGCAAACCTTGGCCGCCATAAGGCGGGTGGGAACGCGACAAAGACGCGTCTGACGTGGTTTCCATAATCTGAAGGTCCATACGGGTGGCCCATGATTTCTTTTGCTGCTTCGTGATAAGGTTAAGAGATTTGGCTTATTAATGGGTTCCAATAGCTCTTAATACGTTGTCCGCCAAGATGCTCCTTGTACGCCTTCAAACAATGAAGAATTCGTGGTTATATGGAGAATGAGATTGGTTATTATTTCACATATTCGAATGGACTTTTGAACTGAACCTGAGGAATATTGCCATGAAATGATTACTCAGACTCATTTCAATAATTATTTTCGAGAAACTTAAAAGCTCTTCTACCCTTTTATGGGTGGATCACTCTCCGACTTACTTCGAGAAGATGCTTGTCCTTTAGAGCCCGCATATGTAGTTTCATTGCAGATAGTACGGATACATAGGGAAGACCAACGAAGCCGAAAGGGGAATTATGAAACTCTTTTTAAAACCTCAGAGGATACGAACTGTTCGGCGGGATCTGGTGAAGAACTAATATGAGTAAATGAC